AATAAAATATTACCACCCTTAATATCGCGATGCACCTTGAAAATCGAGTGCAAATAGGATAAACCCTTCAATGCTTCAGTACATATATATGCTATTTGGTACTCCTCTAAAGCCTCATCAGTAACATTCATTAAATCAGCAACACTTCCTCCACCACAATACTCCATTACAATCTGCCAACAGATTGAAATATTCAGCATGATGTGTCATGTAAGGAATCATCACCAAAAAGAAATAGAGAGATGAACACAATTGATGGAAAAGATGCAATTATTGTGGGAAGAACAGAAGTGAATGTTGGAAGAGTGTTCATACCCAAAGGTACTCCTCACCCTGATAGCTTCCTAAATAACGAACAACATTAGGATGACTGCATTGCTGCAACATCTCTATTTCACCACGAATTTCTTCATATCCTTCTTCCTGATATTGATAACATAGCAAAGAACTTTGAGAAGTCGATCATTTAATCAAACACAAGATACATGATTTGCAACTATAGCATACTGCATACCCCTTCAGATAATGATATCACTTTGATTGCAACCATTTCTGAAGTTTTTAAATCACGAGCTTTGTAAACAGACCCATAAGAACCTTTTCCTGTCATTACAAAAAAGACAGCTTTCAGTAACATTGTTCTACATGGATAAAATAGAAAGAAGACCAACTGAAAGACTATTTGCTAGACCTCCTCGTTTCTTTAGAACAATAAAGGTAAACAGATTGATGAGAATTGCAAAGATTAGGGCAATTAGTAGGTTCATCCTGATTTTGTTTAGCTTAAATCCAGTTGAAATTCATGTGAAGAACAAAAAAAGCCAATGACTGGATTATGAAAAACCATAAGTCATATAGCAATCGAAATATCATACATATGATTGTAAAGTAGATTTCACCGGAAGAAACATGAATATTGTACCAAGTTCATGAAGCAATTCGTACTTGGTAGATGGATCTTCTCTCGTAACACTATCCGCAATCGAACCCGAAGACATTTTACTTGTCTGCTTCCGTGAATACCCTCCTTCTTCATCCTGTGAAGATGATGTTGGCGTAGCACTCCCTTTCCTTGGCCTCCCAAATCCTTCTCCTACCGCCTGCATACTAGCAACCGCCCTACTCATTGTTGACATCCCGCCACTGCCGCCACTAGTCCGCCGCACAAATGTCCCGGATACTGACTCACTCTCTGTATCCTTCGATCTCACCACAAACGTCCCAAAACCAGTGCCTTCTTCATCTTCATCTTCTTCTTCATCGGATTCCTCTCTCCTATACGGAGACTGCACGCGTCTACGATCAGTTTTTACAATCATTGTGCCGGAGATGCTTTCTCCATCGTCGTCGGAATCTACATCGGCTCCGAAGTCTTTCGGCAGGCGCTTGAGGAGAGGAGGTAGTGATTCGTCGTCGTTTGGATCGTCATCATCTTTACATAGCATTGTAGCGTATATATCTCCTGCATCTGCCTTTTTAGGGTTCTTTTGAGTTTGGGCATCGTCATCTTCCTCATCGCTATGAACTACAAACGTTGAGTAGAGCTCTGACTTTGTCGGCTTTCTGCTCGTCCGGCGAGCAGCCGGAGAAAAATCCATCTCTCCGGGTGTAAGTGTGTGTATCTATCTGTACCGGAGTCCAGGTTTAACAGCCACTGTCAAGAATCAAGATGAAGAAACATTAATATTTCCATGTTTTGCCCTTCAACTTTTAGTATGCTTTTAAAAAGTCCTGAAAAAGTATATCTATTGATTATTTGATTAGGGATAAGAAATATTTGATTTGGAACCTAAAAAAACTGAAAATCAAATTGTATTAAATAAAATCAAATGTTAATTTGGTTTTTGTTTGGTTTCAGAGTAAATAAAATTATAAATTTGATTTATAGTTTTAGTTTTGGTTTCTTATAATTGAACCATAAACCAAACCGAATTACCGAATTTAATTTATTTATTTATTCATTAAATAATTTACATTTTAATATTTCAAAGTTGAATCCAAACAATTTTTTTCTTACGGTGTAGTGTGTATTTTGATTTTAAATACTTCATTGTTCATAAGTTATGTATTTTTAATTTTTTGTATTTAACTACTACGAAAAATTGAATCATAAATTTCTTGTTTGGAACATTGGAACTCATAGGTTTTATTTTTAGCCTTAAAATTTGGTTTTTATGGTTTTCAAACCAAACCAAACCAAATTGCAATTCGGTTCTTTGTTTGGTCCAAATAGCCTTGAATTTGGTTTGGACCTAAAAAAATTCAAACCATAAAAACCATAAAACGAAACCGATTCTTACCCTTATATTTTATCGCGAAAACTATAAAATTATTACTTTTGAGTCCTAAAAGAATATGAAAATTCAAGAAAACAAGTTTTGATAATTTTTCCATAGGGCGTGATTCAAAGTTCAAACACATATGATAGTTAAAAACAATTCGGGAATAAAACAACAAGGGAAAATGATTTACCAGGGTAATCATCTTTGTCGTTTTGTTCACATTTAGGCAACTTTTTTTGTACACATTTGATCATTTAACTTGTTATATGTGTTCACATATTACCATTGTCATCGGTTATCTCAGCTAACAATGATAACATGCGAACACTTTTAACAAGTTAAATTATCAAATTTGTACAAAAAATAGAAATTGTCTAAATGTAAAAAAAAAAAAAACGAAAAGTTAATTACCCTGATAAGTCATTTTTATAAGAAAGTATAAAAAAGTTTATATATATATATATATATATATATATATATATATATATATATATATATATATATATATATAAGCAAAGTTTAAAACATTGGATTAGAAAAACCTATAGAAAAAAATATCATAAAAATGTTGTAAGAAATTATAAAAAGTCTTAAGAAATTTGTAAAAAAAAAATTATTCACATTTAGACAACTTTCTTTTTATGTACACATTTTACCATTTAATTTGTTTAATATGTGAGCATATTTAACAAGTAAAATGGTCAAATGTGTATAAAAAAATAAATTGTCTAAACGTGAACAATACGAAAAGGTAATTATCCTGACAAATCATTTTCCCAAACAATAATCGAGGCAAAGTTTGTTTGGATCAATCCTTAACTTTGTTTTAAATTTACATTTTGTGTTAGGCATCTTAAATTTTGACGAAACTAATAACTAATTAGGTAAGTATATGAAGTAATAATATTTTATTGTTTATTATGGTATTATACAATCCTATTTTTACTTGTTTAAATAATTTATTTTAATTTTTCTTGTTAAACATTATATATTATAATATTTATTAATAGTGAAAATTATATTATACCTAAATGATATAGTCGATGGTTTGATATATGATGTTTTCTGTAGAACCAATTCAAACTATTCATTGGATTTTGAATAATTTGAACCGATTCAATCTAACTAAATATGATCATTCGAACTTTCGAATGAGCCCCACCAATTAATAATAGATATAAAAGAAATTAAATATCATCCTACCTGTTGTTCCTACAAAACCTCCTACCTATTTAAATAATGATATGTGTCATATTATTATCCTAAAATATCTTTAAATTTAATTAAATGAGCATTAAATGTTACACATGTCACCATTTAATTTGGTAGGATGATATGTAAGAATAAAAGGTAGGAGGATATTTAATTTCTCTAGATATAATTGTTTTATCGATTGGGTATTTACTATTGTTATCCAACATATCTAATTAAAACCGTCATGTCGACATTCAATTTTTTTATCCAGTTTTACATTCAATTACAACCAACTAAACTACCATACATAATTTTAAAAAGTATTTATGATATAAATAGGTGACAAACTATCTAAAACGTTTCAAAAATGTTGTCAGAATGTAACAAAATTTTATTTTCAGTTTTAAAAGACCATTGTAACCTGGAATTGTAGTCTTTTGAAAATAAAAACAAAATTTGTTACCTTGTGACAGCATTTGTAGTTCAATAGTATTTTAAAAACGTTTAAGATATCTTGTTGCTCATTATCCCTCATTTATTATTACCTTGAAGGTTAACTCTTCAACCACTTTAAGGTTGGCAACTTGGCATGTAACCACTTTTGAGATGTGACTATCACATAATTTGAGTATATCTTTAATTTGAACAATTGGATTAGTATTTCAATAGTAGCCATTTATAGAAATTTGGTATACGTTTTAAATTTCAATCCATGCTTGAATAGAGAAAGATTTAACTTATGTCTTATAAGTGTATATGTTTGTTTGTGTGAAGCAATGTTGTAGCGGTTTTAGATCCAATATGACACTGTAAACCTCCATCGGTGGAGATCAATATAGTAGGAAAAATTTTGCTACTTACTAACATTTTCAATGAGAATCTATTAGATGTTAATTTATGTTTGGCTTTGTCATTTATCATATGGTTGATTGTGTTATAACTAATTGTCTAGATGTGAAGAACTTTGAGAAGTATGATGATGCAACCATGGATCACTCGATACATATATCAATTGTAGAGAAATGATAAAGAAACAACTCACTCACTGAAATGAATGAAAGTGTTAAGTGAACCTAAAAAGCCGACTAGTGTTATTGAAATGAATTATTAGAACTTTCCTTAGTGAAAAGTGAAAACCCATAAAACCGACTAGTATCATGAAATTAGTGTGAAGCAGTTTGAGAAGTATAACGACACAATTTGGATTAATTTATAGAAAATGGATTGGACAATATAAATAGTGCTTAAGGAAGGTTTTCTTATAACATATTTCAGTCTTATTTATAATTTAGGGTAAATTTCCATGAAAAAAAATCAAATGTGATTACATGTCAACCTTAAATTGTGGAGGGGCCAACCTTCCAGGTAATAACAAATAAGAGATAATGACATAAATAGATAACAAACTTATATAAAACATTTAAAAAAACCATTAGACTAGAAATGTTCTCAGAATGTAACAAACTTTCATTTTTGTTTCTAAAGACCATTGTAACCCGAAAAACATATTATTATCGGTTATAATGGTATTTTAAAAACAAAAATAAAAGTTTGCGACCTTCGGACAATATTTATTTAGGAAAACAAAATCCATAGACAAAAAAAAAACCCAAATGAGTTATTTTACACAACCCCTTATTTCAACTCTCCCAAATCTCCTAATAAAATCTAGCCGGTCCCGCATCCAACATAGGGCAAGTAAAGCGCAGTCTTTGTCTTTTTACCTGATCCCTGATTTATGGATTCTCACCTCCTTACTGTTAAACAGAATGAGTAGGAGCCGGAATGATACCCCATCTCCTCCTCACATCCTCTAAATCTTCATCAAAATGCTTCTCATAATAAACACACATAAGGTCAGTCGCTTTCATACCTGCCCGAACTGCCCAAGGAAAATAATGATGATAAAACAACACCCGTTGCTTGTCACTAAACCTAGCGGTCCCACCAATAACAGACAAGAAACACATCGGAAGCAACATTTGCTCAAATTCTATGACTTTCAATGCTGACTCACCAATCAAATTTGTTGGAAGGCCAAAAAGGGTGTGCCAAAAATCGTGCACTTCACGTGCACGCATGGCAACATATGCCAGCTCATCAGTTTCCATGAACCTTACAGGTGGCCTATCGTCTGGTGAGAAGTTTCTTGATCCCATGAACTTTGCATATGCTGCCCCAAACGTGTTCTCGGGCAGGTCCCACGCGTGCCCGACATTTTTAGAAATGACACGTGGCCTGTCCAATAGTATTTCCTGGAATATAAAAATAGTTATCATGTTTTTTTTTACAAAATAAAAGATTTACATTTAACAGAAAACATACTCTGCCTTGAGGGTTTGATTTCATTCTTTGAAGAACTCTTTGAAAAGCAGGTTTTCCAGTTGTTTCCCCTAAAGCAGCTATCAAATCGGCTCTTCTTGGATCCACTAATGCACCAACTGCAGACCCAAGGGCAACTGCAGCCTGCTGCCAACCCTTGAGTCTCACTCTGCCAAAACCTTCTGCCATGCTGGATTTGTAATTGTAAGCTGACAGAATTCAACTTTTAAATCATGATAAAAGAAACTCACATTGTAATATTTAAATTGAAAGATGAACTCAATTGTTAAGGCTGAGAAGCTAGAAGTACCAATTATTAAACAGAAATGAGAATTGAGAAGCATTAGATATAGATGCACCAAAATGATTGTTGAAACAAAAGATGGTCAATTTGTCATTTTAACTGATGATAAGCATTAGATGAGAAGATGATAGTTGTCACTTTTCCCTAAACATATTGTAAGGGCTAATTACAAAAGGATGCACCAAGGATTTGTTACAATTCTATGTCTATTATCGGCAACTACATGTAGATGCACCAAATCGAAGAAGTTCTGACTTCCCTTGTTAACTAAAGCCCAATTGAATTGTCAAAGTTAATCATCCACATATACTCAAATACGAGAATCAAATTTGATCATCTGAGTTTTTGTATAAATCATTGTGGAATTTTATCATACAGTTGGTGCTCATAAAATAAACACTAGAAAAAAACTGAAACGAAAACAAATACTAAAACGGCGACAATTAGGGGTTCATTGAAAAACAAAATCCTTTTCTCAACTACACTTCATCTTCACTACCAGCGGAGATGCAACAAGCACATAAGAAACATGCAAAACACAAAAAAGGAGCAGCAATATTAAACGGAGGACCTAGAAAACGCAATACCAGCAGAGAGAAGAAATCGCTGAAAAAGTTCCGGAGAGGAATTGAAGGTGGTTCGAATAGAACAGTTGAATACTCGACCGCTCCTGGGCTTCTCTGCGTTTCTTGAATACTCGACGCTCGATGATTTCTTGATCGATGGCAGCAAATTGAAGAAAGAAAGAGGGAAGAATCGATAAAGCAGGGAATAGATGTACTTTGTCCCTTATAGTTTTATTAACATTTATATGTATTGAATCAATAAAGCCTACGTAGCATAGTGGTAGTGCGTTCCCTTCGTAAGGGAAAGGTCGAGAGTTCGATCCTCTCCGTGGGCTCTGGCATTTTTAATCGATTGTTCAATTACAGTTGTTTAATTTTTGAGTTACAAAATGCCCCCCTGTTTCTTTGAAATTGTTTATGCATGCCCTCTCTATGTTTTTACTATTTAGTGGGTTTTAAAATACATGGTTAATTCATTCAATTTGGTCTCAGTTCCTTTGAACTTCAAAACGAAATCTTGATGTCGGAACCAATTAAAAATTTCGATAATAGCCTTAGAAGTTTAAAAACTTTGAACTCTAAAAGACTTGTTGCATAAATATTAGTTATGACTTATCGCGTTATGGCACGAGGTTCTTTCAAAACGTTTTTTTTTCTCTGATCGGGCCTAAAATAATTGAGTTTTTGTTAACTTTTGTATATTAAATATTAATATAACACTTCTAAAATTTTGATAATATTCAATAGTTATATGGTTTATCTTATTAAATGTATATAAAATAGTCATGCTTTGAAAAACGTCATGGATCGCCAAGCTCGCCATGACTTAACTTTGACTCTACCGCTAAGCTACGTCTCACGTTATTTAAAACATTGGTTATGATTTTGAAATTTAATGAATGATTATATTATAACCTATTTGATTGTTGTTATACTTTAACTTTTTGTTATATGTAAGTAAAAACAATCTTTTTTTTTTAATTCGAATTTCAAAAAATATTTTTAGAATTTTGGATTTGTTTTTTAAATTTTGGACATGTTTTCATGAAATTTCAAAATACATATATTTTACTTTGTCCACAACATTTTACACCAAAATCCAAAATTCGGATCTCAAATGTTTTTTGGTCATAAATATACCTTTAATATGACATTAGGTGGCTTCAAAAATAATATGATTCATCCCAAAATATCTTATTTCAGACATGATAGTCATTTGAATAAATACATAAAAGTGTTAATAACTTATAAGGGTAATAAACTTTACACAATATACACATTTATGACTAATAAACTTGTTTACCTTGTTGACAAAACACTACTATGACCGACAATTGTAGGTTTAGCTTGTTTCCGACGAATTTGATATCCCGAGCGAGTCTTGTGCAAACATGGCTTTCACAACAAGTTCTTTCTAGAATCCAAAACACACAAAAGCAAGGTTTCCATCTTCGATCAACAACTCAATAATACACATTAAATATGGAACACAAGAAAATACACATTAGATTTGGGTTTTAAAATCGATAGCATATTGTTCTTGTTTGAGTCATGAACAATATGAATAACGAGACATATCATGGTTGTGATGTCTTTTTCAGGTATTTAATTAAATTATTCCAACTATATTTGGTTACGTATTGATTTCCCCCCTAATAAATATATTTGGAGTGTTCTTTTGCATTCTTATAATCTGAAGCATAAGTGTTTGGGTTGCTGAAGTTATTGTTGGAATTGTGCCCGATGCATACAAATTTATTGTGTTCTTTCAAGACCCTTGTGGTATGCAATTTTATTAGTCCATATGTTTCTAGGCAACAAATGATTTTTTTTCCCAAAATCAAAACTGTTACATACCATAGGGAAATCATTTGATTGTTGTGGGGAGAAAGCAGCAAAAGCAACAGGAGATAGCACCAAAAATGATGGTTTTAGCTAAACTAGAGAAGTTCTTGAAACGAGCTACATGTGAGTGTCGTACTAGTTATTACGAATCAAAAGTAACACATTTTGGTCTAAGATTTTGGTTGGCAAGTTGCCAAGTTTCATCCCTTCAGAAAAAAAAAAAAAAAAAAAAAAAAAAAAAAAAAAAAAAAAAAACATGTACATGTTCCACTCTTGTCCGCAGCGAAACGCCGGAATCCTTCTAATTTATAATAAGACTTGTATTGTACAACTTATACAAGACAAGTCATGATAATGTATAGTTTACAAATACAATTTACAACACAAGTTATAAAATCAAAAAAATCATGTCTACATAAGATTACAAAATTTAAAAAAAAATCAACGGTCAAAATCACGTTGAATATGCCTCAATTTTCTTACAACTTGCCTCATCGTCGGTCTCCCGGAAGGTAATTCCGTCGTGCACATCAACCCCAACTTCAACAAATCCAGCAGCACATTTTCCGGTCCCGCCTCCCACATTCCGGCAGTAAAAACCTCCTCCGCCCGCCCCTCTCGCCGGAGCGTCCTCGCCCAAAACACAATTGTGTACCCATTATCTTCTTTCGCAAACGACGGATCCAAGGCCCGTTTATCTGAAATCAATTCAAGTAACATCACTCCATAGCTGTACACATCCGCCTTATCAGAAACCCTACACGCCAGAGCATATTCCGGCGCCACGTATCCAAATGTCCCGGCAACGCCGGTGGTCACGTGTGTCTCGAACCCCTCAAGAAGACGTGACAACCCAAAATCAGATAAGGAAGCTTTCAAATCCTTATCTAATAAGATATTGCTGGGTTTTACATCTCGATGAAGTATACGAGGATTACAGTCATCGTGTAGGAAAGCTAGAGCTCCGGCGATATCTAATGTGATTTTGTGAACCATTTTCAGACCGATTACATGGTTTCTTTTGTCCCGAATAAGCTCTTCCAGGCTGCCGCCGGGGAGATAGTTGTAAACGAGAAACATTTCCGACGGGCTCGCGTAGTATCCGATTAATGTTATGAGATTTGGATGTCGGATTCGACCTAGGGTTCGGATTTCGGCGTTGAATTGAGGAACCCCTTGGCACATCTCGACGGTGAGACGCTTCACCGCGACGGTGATTCCCGGAGATATCTCCGCTCGGTAAGTCGACCCGAAACCGCCGCTCCCGATGCAATTTCTTGATGTGAAGTTCCCGGTTGCTTCAATGACGTTGTTGAAAGTTAATGGTACCCCTACCTCTCGGAAAATCACGAGGCGTTCGTTCCCGGAACGTGGCGGAGATGGGATGGTGTTGATGCCATCGACTCGGGAACTCCGTCTCCGGTTCCTCATGTAAAAGTAGACAATGATGACAACCAAAAGAATTAGAACAATGAGTGATGCGACTAAAATAAACACCCATTCAAAGGGACTGAATCCTTTTTTGTTCCCGTCATTGCCCCTGGAATCTTGAAGCGCCCGCCGTGGTTGTGGCGGCAACACCGGTAAAACGTCAGGAAGAGGCCCTTGGATTCGGTTTCCAGCGAGATTTAGAACGCTTAAATTCTTACATTCTTCGAATGATTTGTGGATTTTCCCAGATAATCTGTTAAACCCTAAATTAAGAACCTGCAACTTCTTCAAATTGGAGAAATCGACCATGGATAAGTCGCCGGTAATCAAATTCCCTTCAATGTCGATCACTTCAAGACTCTTTAACCCCCAGATTTCATTAGGCAACTCACCGGCGATTCGATTAAATGGAATTGACAAAACCTTAAGTTCCGAGAACTTCCCAATTACATTTGACAATTTCCCACCTAAAAATTTCCCTTTTTTAGGGTCAAAATGGTGATTACTCAAACAAGAACTCGAACGAGCAAAATTACCTCCTGGTATCCTGAGCTCAGAAACCCTACCATGTGAGTTGCACGTGACTCCAAACCAAGAACAGTGATCCGGGGCTGTAGATTTCCAGCTTGAAAGCATGTTGTGAGGATCGAAAATGGCGTTCTTGAGCTCCAAAAGTCGACCCTTGTCTAAAAAGTCAACAACGTTCCCAGAAACCGAATAGAACAACAACAGACAAAACAGAGCAAATAAACCCATCTCTTTTATTTGTTCGAAATCAAAACTTATTGCAGAAATCGATTCACAAAAGCTTTTTCAAGACTTTGGTGTTGGAAAGAACTAGAAAAAAAAAAGGAGTTAATTTTGGGGGGAAATTGGAAATGGAGGAGTGCAAGAAGGTTTCTTCATGGGTTTGTTTGATTTTGCATTTAGTTTGATTTGGTATTCTAATTAGCAATTTGGTTCTGACTGGTGGTGACAGGGCCGCGTGAGGCAGTGGAGCCCGGTGGAATTATGGGCGGATCGTCAAAGTCAAAAGGGTGGTCATCCAGTCAACACACGGCGGTTCTATTGGAAAAATAATAACACGCAACGTATGGAAAACAGTCGACAAGTCGGTGACTGGAGTAGACTTTAGGCATTTTTAAGCCAATCACTTTGCTGACTGGACTGCCAACCTATTAACTTTTATTTACCTTTCAAAAATATCACCTTTTCAAGAAAAAGGTAACTTTTTTTTTTCCACAACTCACGAGTGAACATTTTCTTCAAAAATAATAATTAAAAAATAATTGTAATGTTGAACATTTTCTTCAAAAATAATTAATAAAAATAATAATCGTAATGTTGAACGCCTCAACGATTTGAATCTGGGTTAACTTTATTTTGAAAAAGTTTTATATCAAATGACTAGGTTAAAACCCGTGGAAACCACGGTAAAAAAGAAAAACACTATTTATAATTTAAACCGATAATAAAAAATCAAATATTTATAAAGCAGCTCAACTACAATGATTTAAAACATGAAAATTAATATAGTTACGACTGGAGCCTAATTTTATAATTTTAAATTACTTCTATGAATATGCCAAAATCTCAAATAATATGAGACTTTTAACTTAAGCAATCAGAGGAAAAAAGTTTTTAAAAATTAATCCATTGAAGTAAAACCAACAAAACAATACTACATATATGTATGGTACAATTGCTTGTAACATTAGCATAGAATTAGAAAGTAATATTGTAACATTACCATGCTAACATAAAAAGCACGAAAACAGAAAAACATGTAAAAAGGTGGAACGACATTGGTATATATGAATAATATATTACTGGTAATAGGAAGAAATGGCCTAAAAAGTGTTTTAACATACAACTGATATTCATGCTCTTCATCCTCTGGACTTGAGGAGTCAGGGCCCCCACAGTGGACTTATCACGTAATAAAGTCAGAAATATTGATCCTGTTGGCAATGATTTATGGATTAAAAATCAATTTAATTAATTGTAGTCATGTTAAATACCAAATAGAAAGTGCATGCCAAAAGGGAATGAAAAAAAGGTAAATTACATTTTCACACACATGTGTATAACCGATTTTTATAAATTTGGTCTCAAAAAGTCTATTTTGCAATTTTAGTCCTTATTTGAGGTTCTTGTGACATCATTATACATTGAATTTTATAAAATTTTACATGTTTTGATATCTCAAGTACTACGAGTTCATCAATGCTTGTCCCAGGCCACACATAAAAGCGAAATCAAAGAGAGAAAAAGACCAACTTAGACACAAAAAGTGACAAAAACAACAATGTCATACCTCTGCAGCTCCACGAAATTTAGTTAGTGGATCCACTAACTATATGTACTACAAATATAATACCTGCCAAAACCATGATGCTGTCCCCTAAACAAAATAAAGGTTCAAAAGAAAAAATTAGTAAATGGGTACATACTATACTTCCTTTATCAAAATAGGCCATGTAGTTTATATGTAGTTTATCTCTGGTGCTTGGTGTTTTATAATACAATGCTAAATATGGTTGGATTTTTCAGATTACAATATGCCTTGATAAGAAAAATATAAAGCATATAAATCAAATAGTATAATTATAAAAGTAACTTACTAATGACTTTTAGATCAGGATACCGAGGTCATTGCATTATGAATGGAACACTATCATTGAATAAAATGCACCATGTCTGCTCATGCACACAGCATAAAAAATAATCAATTCATCCAATAAGAAACCTTTAGTTAAACATGTAATAAGATCAAACAGGTGGAACTTCTTCAGTAGACAATAATGGTGTAATAACACATGTAATGTGTTGTAAAATATGACATTGTGGATCTGCACACTGAATCATGAACTATGTTTTCAGTGGACTGCCTCATAGACAATGCCCTTTTCTATCCATAATATCCTCTTTTGGTGTCATCTACTACTATCAAAGACACAATGTCCATCAGTTATTGATTCAATTACCCCTGCATGCAAAAAATTTCAGTCACAACAAAATCATATAAATAGTTGTAGGAACCACTATTAAAAAAACTTACTTGTAAGTGCCATCAATTATCTTCGTTACATCTTCCTTTTGGATAATGTTGATCTTTAATATCTGATAATAGAAACCAAGTTGAATTTCCACATAGTCAATTTCTAATAACTCCTAAATCTAGATACCTCTAAATCCAAACTTCTCAATCAATAACAAAAAAAGACCCACAAAAAGCATAAAATATGGAACAACCCAATGGAAAATCTCCTACAAAGAAACAGAGAAATTATAAGACACATCATCCAAAAAATAAGAAAACATAAATTTTTTACCTCTGGCGGTTTCATGTTTGATATATGTTGGCTCAAAGATTCGCTTGATTAATTTTGGTTGGGGGGGAAAGCTTGAAACATGGTGCTTACCAGAGGATTAGGGTTCATAAATCAGAGAGGATGAAACAACGATGTTCCGCATAGCCCCAGGACTCAGGATAACATCATTTTCCGTTTGGCAGTCCAATCCAAAGTCAAAATCAAACATTACCCTAAATAATAAAAAATTGGGAAACAATTTACCTGATTGAGATGGTATAGTGACGAAATTTGAGGAATCGATTATCTATTTCTATCCTTTTGAGGTTGGATTCGTTTCTAATGCGTCGTTCCCGACTACTTTTAGTCTTCAGCGTGAGATTTCTAGAGAAGAAGATTGTGGAAATCGATGGGAATTTTGGAGTTGATTTAGTGAGATTACCTTCGTTATTTATGTCGATCTCTTGCTGATAAATCGAAAAATCTAGGAAATTAGGGAGCACAATCCTCGCAAAAGAAGTTGGAAAAGGTTGAATAGTAAACTCAAATAAGAAATGGGGACCAACAAATTCGAGTGGATTTGGTGAGACTGTGAAATCGAACTGTTAAACCAAAACTACCAAATTCAGAGAATGAGATGAAGAAATTGAACCTGTGAAACAAAATAAAAAATCTTTATCGAGGTGCTGGTAGTGGATCTAGGTTACAGAGAACAAAAAATCTTTATAGAGGTGGTGGTTGTGGGTCGAGGTAGGCTAAATCAATATGGGTGATTTGGTAATCAAGACGAAAATCTCGCTAATTTGGCTGATTTTAAGGGATTGAAATTAAACTAAAATTGGTTTCAAATTGTTTACAGGAAATCGTAGCACGTAAGAATAGAAGGCAGAAGGGTATTTTAGGACGTTCATTAAGAAACTTTTAGGCGGGAAAAAAATGTGTATAGGGCCTTAGAAGTTGCCACGTGGCAACAAATGGTTTCTTTTATTAGAGTAGGGATTATCGTTATTTTATAGTGGGTTAATGACATAGAAAGGTAACGTAGTTTAGGGTCTGTACATATTAAGGTAACAATGTTTTTTTCGTATACATTTGCCAATTGAACTTGTTTGACCTGTACATATTAAGGTAATATGACCGATAATCGTAGGTTTTTGCTGATTTGGCATATTACGTGGCATATTCACCCTCTAGTCATCTTTTATTTAACCCAACGATACATTGTTATAATTTTTACCTTAGGAAAAGATTGGTGCCCTAAAATGTTGACGGCTTCTTCAGCATTCTCCCCCTCACCTCTAAGGCTTGGATTCACCCCTTGCTACTGTGACCTTCCATCTCGAATCCGCACATCAAGGACGGAAAACAACCCTGGAAGAAAGTTTATGATATGCTCGGTATGCCATTTTTTTGATTTTTAGATTTTGGTTCATATTTGTTGTTGTATTGGTTATTTCACTCCTTGATCCTCTTGTTTATGTTATTGGTTTATGTAGAAAGCAGAAGAAAGGCGTGGTTTTTGGGAATGGGTAGAACCTGATGAAACACTTGAAGTTATGCAACGTGACATTTTGAGCCTTAGAAAAGAGCCGGAAGAAGTAAAGAATAAACAATTTACTGTTAAGTGTTTGTTGGTTGTTTTCATTGTGATGTGTTTATTTAGTCTTTTGAAGTAGTAATTGTAATCATCAAGAAGTAGATTAATGCTAAGGTTGTGTTGGTTGTAATCTTTTAGATGGTGAAATGGTATTTCTAATCTTTTGAAGTTGTATTAAGATGTAATGTACTTTGTAACACTTATTTTTTATATGAATGGGATCTGATTTGTTATATTATTTTGATATGAAACAGATTTCACATAAACAAATTTCAAAGTAGGATGCTAAAGTAGAATCAAAGTAGGATGATAAAATATAAATTGTTTTGACCAATTTACCCTTGGATTTGCAGTTTTGGTAAAACAAATTTCATAGAAACAGATTTCAAAGTAGGATGCACATTAGTAGAAACAGTTGTACTACAAAATACCCTTAACACATTAATCAACATAACCTTGAAGCAGGTTATGACCAAAATACCCCTTAACTAGTATCATAGTAGCATTACATCATTCTAGTAGTAAGGTAGCATAGTTACATTACAAAAGACTTAAGGTTTGTTACTGGCTTGTGTTAGACAAAAGATACTAGTAGTAAACAAGCACATCATTCTAAAGTAACTGGCTTGTTTTGACTGCAACCAATCCCTCCTTTGGGGACAACATTCTTACTTAGACCAATCTCGGTTATACGTTTTGAAACTTTCCTCTTTCGCACATACATCTTTCCAATTCTTGAAGCTCTGGAAGCTTGAACAGGAGCTTCAACAGGAGCTTGAACAGGAGCTTCAACATGTCCACTTCCACTTCCACTTGTACTTCCCTTCCACTTGTAATTCCCCTTCCTGTGAAAACAAACTAGTATTAGTTTCCAATTATATAGAAGTACACTAAATAAATTCATTTTTACCTTTTCCTGGACAACTTGATTTCTTGTGTCCAATGCATTTGCAAGTACTACACTTTTGCAACCCTTTTGCACGTGAGATTGTATGCGTCTTTTTACCATTACCTTCTAATTCTGACTTATGTTTTGTTCGTTTAACTTTTGGTTTGCCTGGTAGTCTTCTTTTTTTGGAGGTAAAGGCTTCTGATAAATTGTTTTCGGCCACATTGGACTAGCATTTAAAGGGTGGACATTGTAAGTGTAGCTTGAAAGGAAACTTTGTTTGCTAAAACAAGGTGCCACATACGACTCTGCATTATGATTCAGGTATGCAATTGCTGCCAAGCCATGCAAGCATGGGATACCTCTCAACTGCCAACTTCTACATTCACATACCCTTCCCAATCCACCTATAACTCACAATTGCTCCAAGTTTGAATGACCTGGAGCAATTGTGTTCATCTTTCAGTGACTTAATTTGAAAAGAATGTTCGTCCTTCATCCAAGTGGCCCAGAGTCTAAATGGACATTTATGTGTTGTACCTTTGCTACATTTAGCTAACAAACTGTTCTTATCACTTTTTTCATACCATAAACTGTATCCATGTCTAACAGCATAATTACTCAGTAAACATTTAAGCTCATCGGGATCAGAAAACTTCATACCTAGTATAGGAACCATCTTCTTCTAATTTTGGTTTGGATCATGGACGGGATACATTGGTTTCACATCAACTTCTTCGCCTGTTGCATCTGTTTCGGAACCATCTTCTGATTTCTTGTTAGGACAAAGGGCATTAAGAAATGAATCATCAAGTGGTTTCTTACTTGACACCACCTCATCCTCTTCATGGTCAGGTAAAATCGCGTCCGAAAATGTAGAATCATCAACTTCGTCTTCATCCTCTACAACCGAATCATATTGATCAGGATTCTCCTCCTCGATCCAATCGAAAATGGGTTCATTGTACTGATCAATGTACACATTAATTCTTTTTTCTTGGCTTCCATTACCAACCTCAAGGAACTCTCTGTAATCTCCTTCATTCTGAATTACTCCTAACCCTTCACTCAACCTTTCATGTGGAAGACAGTAGTAAACATCATTGCAATTGATCTTCTTTGTGAGCTTTTCAAGGAATGTAATGAAATCTGAAAATACCATAGCGTTGAAGTCGATATCTCGCACAGATGCGATGTCTGGATCGAAATATACAAAGGGGTTGGGGGAAAAACACCATTATAGTGGACATCCACGATGAGGGATAATCCCTTCCTCATTACAGTCGAAGAAACAGAAAGTGATTTCAATTGCAAAGGTTCGACATTGAGAACGAAGAGAAAGGGGAACGATGGAACGAAGGAATGAAAGTTGTGGGTTTTTTTGTTTATGAGCCCTAATTCGAATTACCATTCATATAATGTGTCAAAAATGCCAAGTAATTTCATTTAATGCCACGTAATACAACATAATGCCACGTAATATGCCAAGTTAGCAAAAACTACGACCATCGGTCATATTACCTTAAAATGTACAGGTCAAACAAGTTCAATTGGCAAATGTATACGAAAAAAACATTGTTACCTTGATGTGTACAGAACCTAAACTACGTTACATTTCTATGTCATTAACCATTTATATTGTGTTCGATAAGGCTGGTTAGTATGGAACAAACTGCACATCACAGATTCACCGCGCAAGACAATCTTGTCGCACCTTTGGTTTGTGACCATTTCTCAATAGATATTTTTTTCTTTATTATAAATGCACATTTATACTTCATATTTCAAACCAAAAAACAAATACAAAACACTTATATTCTTTATATTTATGTTTCAATTGGGTTTTTTGTTATTTATGCATTTTTTAGTATGCATTTTTTAATTAATGAAATAGTTTCATTTTTTTTTCTAAAGTGAAATCGACTAAAATAGTTCAATACATATCGATTGAAGGCAAACGGGCAACAAGCTGCGCCGCTAGCCCTTTATGGATGACAAAACCAATTCTTTTGAAAACAATTAAATTTTATTTAATTAAAGAAAAAAGTGTGGTGAGTTGCGGTACCATTTCCTATTAGTTTTGTAGGGTGAGTGAAAATGACGTTGTGCTGACGTGGTAAAATGAGGTATCACACCCATCAGTCTAAGGATAGACCAAACCGTTTAGGAAGAGCTTTGGGTTGGGCTTGGTATTGTCAGTACCGCCCAGATCACCGTTCCGGCAAGCTCAGTACTACCAAAATCAAACCCGTAGCAGCTTGGAAAACCTGGTGCTCCCCTCTTAAAGTAAATAGTTATAAGATTTAGAATAAATTAATGAAATTGTATCTGTGGTTTGGTCAAAATTATACGTTTAATACCTATTTTTTTCACTTGAATATCCCTTCTTTCGTTTTTGGTATGCCCCCGTATCAGTCACCCGTATACCATCTCCGTTAGTGAGCTTCACAGGCCTTGCATGCAAGGGGTATTATAATCATTTTGATTTTAAACCCTCCTAAAATGGTCTTATCCTTTGTTGTTGTTTCTCTTTTTTTGTAATCCATTTTTTTTCTTCTCTCCACTCGCTTTCATTCTTCCTCTTTGCAACATTATGATAAGAAACCTCGATGGAAAGGATATGTAATTGTGATCAACCACTGTAATCTGAATCTTGTGACAACCGTCAAATTTCGGTCAAGTCAAAGTCAAAGAAAGTCAACAAGTCAAACCGGTCAACTCCATTAACCCTTGTATGTTAGGGTTTACGTTGTACAATTCGCTATTTTAATGAGAAAACATCATTTGGAAAATTCATGTGTTTGATTTTCCTTAGCCTTAACAGTGCTAAACAACGAACCAAAGCGATAAAACACTATTGCACAATTATCGGGGGCTGTGTAAGACTCTTAAACATGGCTTAACGGGGTTTACAAATATGACAATTGTAAAAATTTCATCATATTTACTATTTACTATTTACTATTTACTATTTACTACCTACTATTTACTATTTACGTTTTAAAAATTACTATTATTAGCCAATTAGTATTAACCATCTTCTAGAAACATTTGTCATGATTACATCATGAATATTGTCATATACACTAACTAGTTATATGGAGAATGTCAACATTTAACACTTATTATTAAAGAATTATATATGAATAGTAATTCTTACTAGTATAAATACAAGGCTTAAGTCACTCATTTTCTACACCATTCTCTCTCAATTTCAAGACTTCCAAGGTTAATCATCAAGCTTTCTTCCACTCTTGGTTCTCGATTCGTCAAGGCATCTTCTAAGTGTTTTTGAGTTGAACACTTCTCTTCTCCAACATCCATCCTCTAAGAACACATAAGGTGAGTTCATACCCCTACATTTACATGTTTTTCTTAAGTTTTAAGGGGGGAATACAAGTAAAATCATCAAGAACACAATTAAACTTTTTCTATCAGATTACATCAGAAAAGATGAACTTCGATCACAGACTGTTTTGGTCAACTTAAATATTTTAGTTTTCAAAACTGTTCCAGGTGCAAGTAGTTCAAACTCTTAGCTTTAAAATGGCTACTTGCACATCTCCATATGATTTTTCTACAATTTATGGTGATTTTTACAAAACTGCCTATCATTTCAGAGGCAAACCCGGACCAGTCTGTGATTATGAACATTTTCACCTCTATTAGAGATCACTAAAAATCATGATAAAATTTACGAACAAACTAGACTCATATTCCAAACTCTCAGAATTTGCGGATTTGGATTTAGAGCTTTGATGATTTTTCTATAAATTTTCTAAGAACAGTAACAGAAACTGTATTCAACGAAAAGTTGCTGTCAATTTCATTTCACCTTGTAACATGTTGAGCAAGGTGTATATCTTTATGTGATTATATGTTATTGCAATATATGACATTTTATCTTAATATTTAGACACACATCAGTTTACAAATGGATTTGGACATATAAAATATAAAGAATAACAAGTGATTATAATCAAAGTACAACCGATACATTCAAACATTTAATAAACTATTTTGAATATAGTTTGCATACATTACTACGTACTACCCTTGGTTGATAAACTATAATAGGTATAGTTTATGATACATTACATAACACATACATTTAAAAAGGGTACATTTATACAAAGGATATTTTCATTAAGCAAGGTACGGCCATACGGTACCAAGTTTTCATAACACGTAATTCCGTTAATGACTTTGTGAGACATTTACTTCAAATTACCATTAAGTCATGTATTGTAACCAGAGTCTCCTTGAGGGAGAGCGTGATAGTTGTGTATAGATCTATATTGGGTTTGACAAACCCACACCTAAACTGCATGCAACAGTTAGACCGATAGGTCTGGGGTGACAAATGTCATAACATTTCCGACGCCTGAAGAACGTCGTTTTAGGCAACCTTGGTCATAGTATGGTTATAATAAACTCACATAAAGTATTAATAAACATTGGAATTTACGGGAACTTCATTAAAATTTAACGAGTTTATGTCGATTTAAACTTACATTATTTATTATAAGTAAGAAAAGTTACTTATACATTTCGGTCTTTGGATTTAAGACTACATATACATTTTAAGGAAAATATTGGATTTTTCTAAAACAAATACTACTTTTACAAACGAAAGGCTTTTAATAATACCAAACAAAAGCTTATGAACTCACCAACCTTTGTGTTGACACTTTTTCAAACAACTTGTATTCTTAGGAAATCATTAAACAGGTAACCAAGTGCTTTTGAGGATGAGACGCTAAGGCGTCTACTATTTCATATTTTGTCAACATATTGTAATTGATTCGTAAACATGTAATTCATACAATGATGTAACTTTTTCAATTATATATATGTTGGTTGTGTTTGCTTGAATTACTATTACAATTGTTGTTATGATACTATACATGAAGTCCTCCACCCCCGGACGTTTCCGCCATCCTTGGTTTGGGGGTGTGACAGATTGGTATCAGAGCACAATTTATAGTAAATTAAGTATATCAAACCACATAAGATATACAAACTATAAACACAATTGGGACTAATAGTCTCTGATTTGTGCATTTTTCAAATAAATATACTCTTAGAAATAAATGATTTTCTTGATTAAAGTATACATACATACATTACATGCTCGCATGGTATCATAACTAGCGAAAACATAAAGCAAAAGAAGAAGAGTTGAACATTTTGAGTATGCCTTAGTATATGTGGATTAAATCTGGGAAGGATATAGCCTGATCAACTATATCTGTCCGGGAATTTACTTGCATATACCGGGGGATGGTCAGGATGGACAACAAATCTAACAAACCTAATAACACACTACAAAAGGATACTTTAAGAACTCAAAACTAAACATTTACAAATACTATAGGAGTATTTTGTGTTACTATAATAAATTATCTGAGAATTAAATAGGTCTTTATTTATAGATCAATAGCTGCTAAGTGGATGCGCTAAGGTCATATGTAACTAAGATGTTATAGACTTAGAATTTATGTATCTTTGTTTCACTTCCTGTCCTTGTTTGGTTGTGGTCTTGGAGTTAGGGTCATCTATTCGAAGGACTATTATATCTTAATCACATATGACTGGTATGCACTTTGCAACTAATTTAGTAACCGATAAAGATCATTTTAAAATATAATATATTAATTATGTCCCGACTAAATTAGTATATGTAAAACTTTTACAAACAGTCATATACTTGGAAACAAGGAGACTCAAATAAAATATTTTATACTTTCATTTTACCTCATAACCCAATGTATTGGGTCAATTAAAAGTATAAAATCGTATGTATCGTAAACATACCGGAAAACAACGTAATAATATACTTTATGTATAAAAGATTTCTTTTCCTATAAATATACTTTTACTAAAAGTACATTGGTTTACGACTTACGATAGAACCATGCCGCCAAGAAGAAGACCAAGACCTTCCGACAACATAGCAACACCTCCTCCGCCGCTGCCTCCACAGTTTGATCCTGCGATGTTCCAGGCTGCAGTAACAGCAGCCGTAGCGGCTGCAATATCGCAGATAGGGACAAACGGAGCTGGTGGTTCTGGATCGGGTGCTACAAACTCTAACCATGGAGACAGTACGTGGCGTATAAGAGAGTGTTGCTACAAAGACTTCACCAATGGCAAACCCGA